AGCATGAGAGGGGGGAGGGTCAGAGGGAGAAGCAGACTCCCCGCTGAGCAGGGAGCCCGATGCGGGACTCGATCCCAGGACTCCAGGATCATGACCCGAGCCAAAGGCAGTCGCTTAACCAACCGAGCCACCCAGGCGCCCCTTACTTATGTTTTATAATATTAGAAGATTCCTATTTTTTGTAGTAAAGATACCTAATATTTATGTGTCTGCCGTGTGCTAGATACTGTTCTAGGCCGTTTACTTACGCTATTTCATTCTAACCTCATAGAAACTCTACGACAGTTGCTTTATTATCCTTACAGATGAGGAAACTGAAGCTCAGAATGGTTAACTGGCCTAAGATCATGTATGGTAGTGATGGAATGGTATAAACTCATGAATGCCTTGACTGTTTACAGTACTGCTTCCTATTGGAAGTGATGACATCTAATGTTTTCTGTTAAAGGATATTAGGAATGGAGAAGATTTGAGGAAGTTGTATGATTTGAAAAAATAAAGAAGTGTTGATCTCTTTTCTTAACAGAAGAGATTAAAGTCTGGAAAAGCACTAATCTGGGGTTATAGGGAATTACCTTGTGTTTTTTGTTCTCAACACATTTAGTTATTAGCATCTATGCCTCTCTTTTCTGAACTTCCATAGATAGTCATCTTACATCCTAATTTGCCCAGACAGTCCAGATACATATCTCTTGTCGGGCATAATTATTAATAGCACCCCCTTCCTCAAAAGTGTCCCAAGTTTGGATGTTTTATGAACACCTTAATTTAAAACACTGTATTGTAGACATAAAGCTTTTCAGATTCTTTTGATTCTTGGGATTATGTTAATTTGGTTGGTTATGTGATTTTATGTAATAATTTGTATTAAATCAGGTGTACCTCTAAATTCTAGTAGGAATTTATTATGTATTTTTGAGGCAGTATGCTAGGTTGTTGACTGATTTCTTTGATGATGGAGAGGGAAAGCCATAAATTAGCTTCTTGAAAGAAAGAACTAATAAAATGGTGGACAATTGGGGGATGAATTTGTATGTTCACCCAGTCATTTCTCGGTTGGAAGGACAAAGGTGCAGGTTGACAAATACTGAATTGCTTGACCTTGGTTTAAAGCTTTTGTGAATTACGGAACTAATATGAAGTGGTAGTGGATCATATATTTTACAGATCTTTAAGATCTGTTAGCCCTTGCTTTCTGTAATATTCTTCCCCATTTCTACTACAGTAAAAGAGTCTCCAGGGGCAAATCTCTGCTGCTGTTACAACCAGTGTACTGCCTAAATCTTTTTTGTTTGTTTGTTTCTGTTCTATCCTGAATTATTGCCTTCTCCTATATTTAGTTCATTTTAATTTAATTTATTCTTGGTCACAAACTAGTAGTTTCTGAAAGTATTTGGAATCAGTGTCTAAACTGTCACAAAAAGTTGTTTCTAGAATGTACAGGTCTTTGTCAGTAGAAGTGTTAATTTTATTAACTACTAAATTGTTTTCCTGTGCATGATAACTTATAAATGTTTGCAAAATGAAAAGATATTCATAGTATAGTGCTTGGCAGAAAGTAGGCACATTGCATAAGTGCTTAACATAGATTTTTTTTCCCTAGTTGTACAATTTGTATTTTAAAGCAGTGATATATGAGTTTCTCTATTAAAACACTACGTAGAACTTTTATCACAAAGGCTTTGGAACGGTTTCCTCAAAGAGTTTCTATTATTTCTGCTACCTTAGAAGATTAGTTTTAAGCCACTTCTGTGTCTATGATGACTGCTTCTATTAAGTTGTTAAAATTTTATTCTCAATTCCTTATTTGTTACTATTACTTTGATATTGAATCTTTTTTCATGATGTGTGGGGTAAAAACTTTTTATTTTCTCAGGAGCCATTTTTTTAATGGTATTTTGAAGGATTAAGTTGGGTTTTACTATGAATGAATGTTCAATTATTTATATCAAGCACAGTGTTTTAGTATTAATCAGCTTTACATTTTGTACATGAACCTTTTATAGTGAGATTTAAAAAAAACAAAGGAACAGAGGTTGCATTTGGCTGGGATCTTTATTAGAGCAGATTATTGTTTAAAATGTCTGTGCACAAATCATTTGCAGCCCAGCCCAGTTCCTAACATGGAGAAACTTTTCTTTTTAAACTAGCGGAAGTTAGTTTCCTTTAAAATTAAATATATATAGTTTAGCAAAAAATCTGTAGATTAGGAACATGCCCAAATTGAACTTTTCCCCCTGCCATCAAAGCTGCTTCTGGTTTTTTGTTTGGTCAGTAATACTACATTTACCTTATTACCCAAATTTTAAAATTTTATCAATCTCCTCCCCGTTTGTAATCATATCTTACTGACTCTCCTAAATATCTCTCAAACCATTTCATTTTTCAATTCTTTCTGTTAGTGCCTTATTCCAGTTCTTACCAACTTGGCCCTGTTGTAGTTCTGCTAAACTGATCTCTTTGTCTGTAGTCTAGGAATATCCATTATTCTTATAGCTTACAACTTGAGTTGTTTTCTGAAACACAGTATCACTCTTAACAACCTCTGTGGATTCCCTTTACTTCAAAGTAATGTGCAGTTTTACTTTAACTTGTCGTTAAGGTTCCTGAGGATCTGACCTAGAAAGCTTTCCCAGCATCAGCTTTGACATTCCCTCATCTGTTCATCATCTCATACCTTGTTGTACACACAATGCAATTTACTAGGTTGTGCCTTTGTTCATGATTTACTTTATCTTCCTCGCCTTCCACTCACACTTTCACACCCAACACACAGTTTTATTTCTCAGATCCAATTCAGGTTTTACTGAGTTTGTTTTATTACATTTAGTTTGTATGTTTGTGAGCTCTCTGAAAATAAGGTTACCATGTCCCTAAGGAGGCAAACAGGTAATTTAGTGTGATAAGTATAGTGTTAGAAGTATATACAGGTTTAATTATGACCACTGAAAGACTGGGTACCTAATTATGGGCTGAGAGGGAGGAGATCTGAGGAATGCTTATTTAAAATGCTAAATGCATGCCTCAGGAAACCAATCTATTGTTTTCAAACAAACATATCCCCAGTCCATCTTCTCTGAGTATCAGGGAAGGTAGAGAGGAGAGGCTAGGATGAGTGATAAAGTATCATTAGGAATTAGCCAAATGTACATTTTGAATAATCAGTGAATCATTGTATCAACACAATTTTTACGTGCTCTGTGTGTCACATATATGGTAGATAGAGCATGGGGCTTTTAGATTATTTCAGAAGTATTTGAGGTTCCTTTCTGTGTGTCTTCCACCATCCACAGGTTCCTGATTTGTAATTGATAGATTGCTAGCACTCCAGACCTAGGAAGAGTCGTGAAGTTATGAAGTAAAAGTGAAGATGTATTTTCTATCATGGAAGCTATGGCATAGGAGGTGATCCAAGGGCAGTAAAGGAGAGAAAGTAAAGGAGAGGTTTTCACCTTTTGTATAGATGTTTTTATTACCTATATTAAGAAATTTAGTAGGTTTTTTGAAAAAATTTATAAAGAAAGTCACATGATGGTAAAACCATTTCAAACATGTAGAAAAGTCAGAAGTGGACTTTGACTAGTGTTCAGGGTTAGAATTACTGGAGCCAGTACCCAAACATTAAGTGGGGAGTTATTTTATTATTAACAAGACAAAAATAGAAAATAGTTATCTCTGAATTTTCCTTAGTATTGAAAACTCACTTGTACATATTGGTGGTAAGTTCTCTTTCACCCACATGGAATTAGAATAAATTTGCAATTAGAGTGAAACTTAAATTAATATTTTTTTCCCTCCCAAATAGCTTTTGCCTACCAAAAAGTTTTGGGAACCTGATGATTCAACAAAAGATGGACAAAAAGGCATATTTCTTGGGGATGATGAATGGAGAGAGACTGCATGGGGAACTTCTCGTAAGTTATTGGTGTTAATGTGTGAGAATTATGAGTTTACTTGAATTTTTTGAAACCCTGCCTACCCCCAGACAGACAGTATTTGGAGCAAATTTCTGATGACTTCGTTGAAAATTTTATAAGTCATTATAATGTACATTTTTAATGTAAATTAACCCTTATCTAATGGTCTACTTAATAGTTAGAAGTCTTTGTCACAGTAAAATATTACTGGATGATAATTAATCAAATTAACTTTAAATTTTGAGTGTAAATTACCCGGGTGTTTCTTTATTCTCCCTTTGGCACCCCCCCGCCCCCCCGTGCTTTTTTTCTCTCTCGCAAAAATAAATAAAATCTTTAAAATAAAATTACTTGTGCTCGAAAGTAGACATGTTTTAATTTTTGTTTTGAAGGTTGAGTGCTTAATTACTTTATTTACCAGAACCAAATATTTTTTAAAGCATTCTGAAGCAAAACATCTTGAGCACAACATGGTAATGAGAGATTATTTTCAAGATGGATGGTTGGGAAATATTTTTGGTATGTTATATTTGGAGGACAACTTGTACAGGCAATAAAATATTTAAGCAACATTATATATTTCTTTTTAGTGTCAAGTTTGTATTTTTAATCTCTTGTGCCACTTCCTCTTGCAACTTAACTTTTTTTAGCTGTATGGATAAAATTTTGAAGATGAATATTAGTCTTTACCCAGAGATAGGAGGAAATTAGAAATGAATGAAAAAATTAGAAGTTATTTTGTTTATAGAACATTTATTGAATGCCAAGTATGTTACAAACACGAGTAAGATATTCCTTGTTCTAGAGGAATTGTTCTAAAGAAGAGTCTTTCCATGACTGCAGGAGACTTTATCATATAGTTAGTTTCTCTAACTGAATTTAAGGATTTTGTTTGACAGAGACACAGAGAGGGAACACAAGCAGGGGGAGGGGGAGAGGGAGAAGCAGGCTTCCCGCTGAGCAGGGAGCCTGATGCGGGGCTTGATCCCAGGACCCTGGGATCATGACCTGAGCCACCCAGGCGCCCCTCTAACTGAAGTTCTCTTTCTCACCCTCACGTTCATCTATTTTTTGCTGACTTTAACTCTTTACCCTTCGTATCACTTTGGGATTCACTCTAAGACTGGGAAGGATTAATTCTCCTTCTTTCTGTTTCCATAGTATCCTGGATCATTTTTACTGATGCACTTTTACTCTGTTGTGATTGCCTTAGGGCAGGGACTGTGTTGTTTGTTCTTGGATTCCCCATACATAGCACAATGCCCAGCATACAAGAGACCATAAACCAACATTTGTTTGAACTATGTTAATGAATGGGTAAATGAGTGAATGAAAAATATAATGACTAATCTCTTGTGGATAAAGGTACTGCAATGAAATGTTTTAATATGCTTTAACAAAAGTAGTAGTCATTTAAAAACATAAGAGTTCGTGAAGTGATGGCCGAGTACTACTGTGATAGTTCAGCCTGTTAAGGACCGGACCTAATGAGTATCCTGTGTGATAACAAATGAACCAGAGGTAGCTTATTGGTGCCTTAAAAAAACAATATTTGAATGTTGCCTCAAATGTTTTATTATATTTGTATTCCATTTGTTCTCTAATCTTAAATATTGCTTTTTTTCTTTTTGTCATAAAAATGTGTAGAAAAGTTATTCACACCAGTTGAATAATTTTTTGTTAAAAATAAATGGAAAACTTTTAAACTAGGAAGGGACATTTATTTATTTATTTAGATTTTATTTATTTGACAGAGAGTGCACACAAGTGGGGGGAGCTGCAGGCAGAGGGAGAGGAAGAAGCAGGCTCCCCGTCAATCAGGGGGCCCAATGTGGGGCTGGATCCCAGGATCCTGGGATCATGACCTGAGCCGAAGGCAGACGCTTAACAACTGAGCTACCCAGGTGCCCCTAGAAGGGACTTTTAAAAATAATCTTTAGGTGACAGTTTTTACACCAAGAGTAGAAAATTCTGTGATATTAACTGATATTTTCCAAACATATTTGTTTGTGTTTATAGTGGTACAGCCATGTGTTCTGAATCTGCCCAGTATATAACTATGAGCTTGAGATGTGCTTCTGCCAGTTTAGGAGTTCTTTTTATTCTTCTAGGTTTCTATTTTGAATTATTATGAATCATGAAGAAAGCTTTAATATTTTAACAAGATGCTTCTAGGTAGCAGAGCCTTCAGGTTAATGTTTCTGTCTCCGTTGACCTTTCTGGTTTGACTGTTCTTCATATCGGCTTTTACTTTTTTTTGTTAACCAAATGGCTCTGTCTGTATTCCCAAGAAATGTGCCCAGGCCAGTGAGTTTCAAGAGTATGAAAGCTTTTTATTAAGATTATAATAACATTCAAAATAAAACAGTATGCCGATTTTTTTTTTTTACTTTATTAATTTATATAAATACATTTTGGTTAGTTTAAAAGTATAAATGTGTAATTGTGTTCTTCCTTCCAAACAGACCATTCAATGTCCCAGCCTATTATGGTACAGAGAAGATCTGGACAGGGTTTTCATGGAAACAGTGAAGTAAATGCAATACTGTCTCCGCGATCAGAAAGTGGAGGCCTTGGTGTGAGCATGGTAGAATATGTATTAAGTTCTTCTCCTGCTGATAAATTGGATTCTCGATTTAGGAAGGGAACTTTTGTAAGTATTTTGAATAAAGAAATATTTAATAATTAATGGTTATTTGGTTATCTTTAAGTCCATTTATTTTTTTGGCTCTTCCAGAGCTCAAGGAAATCTTGCAGTTATTGGAGCTCTGGTTTTCTTCTCTTGGCCACTTCTTGAAATACATGAAATAGTAGAACCAATGGGAATATAACCTTAGCCATGTTACAAAAATCAAGCCATGTTAATTACGAAACATAATTTGCAAGATTATAGTTGCTTATTCATGGTAGTGTTTGATGTGAAAGTAACTAAAAATCATCTGCATTAAGTAGAATTTTAATTTCATCTGTGGTGTTACTGCTTTTCCAGCACCGCTATAGTTAAGGTTGCCTTAGCCCTTCTGTTATAAATCACTGTTTTGTGCTCAATTTTTTGGCCTTTGATAAATTAGTTGATTACAAAATTAAAATAAGGTACAATGCTTTTATTGTTTACGTGCACTATAGCGCAGTTTTAGGTCACCTTATGGTGCCTTTTTTTGTGTTCTATTAAATATTCAGAATCAAACAGATTCTTTTTCCTCAGGGCACTAGAGATGCTGAAACAGATGGACCTGAGAAAGGAGATCAAAAAGGCAAGGCTTCTCCATTTGAGGAGGACCAAAACAGAGATCTTAAACAAGGAGATGATGATGATTCTAAAATAAATGGCAGAGGTTTGCCAAATGGAATGGATGCCGATTGCAAAGATTTTAAGTAAGACTTTAACTTTCTCAAGAAGAAAAGCATATCTCTTTAGGGATAATTACTACTAGTTGATGTGATTGATTTAGACATTTTCCAATTTTGGTTTATTTTATTTCCCTTTGTACCTTGTGTTAATCCAGAAGAAGATTTAATTTTTTTCCTAAGGAGTATTAGTTGATTGTGAACCTTTTTTTTTTTTTTTAAATAATTCTTCAAAGTAGTCTCTAAAACAGTGCATTCCATTAAAGAAGTAATGTTAGAAGTTGCTGTTACCTTTCTGCTCATATGGTAGTCTAAATTTTAACTTTTTCCTCCCTGCTAATATTTAGTGAATTTTAGGTTTAATCTGGTTTTTCTTGGCAAACTCCTTTCGGGGTTGCTCTTGAGCACCTTTCTGTGGAGTTTCCTCTTCCTTCTACCCCTGTATTGTATCCCCCCCCAAATCTAACTCTTAATCTTGGAAATGAGGAAACATAATTACCTTGGAAGCTGTGACCTTTCTTCTTTAGTATATATGAATTTATGGTAATACTTAATATTCCTGAAATTATTCCTGAAGTAGGGAACATATTAGAGACTTCAAAAAGTTAACTTTAAGCTTAGAATTCTTTAAGTTGTAACTTTTTAGTTGTCTCTTTACGGTAATTAAATAAGTATTTTCTTCTAGCTTTGATCTCAGATTAGGCAGTGTGCATTTACCTAGATATTAGGGATTTGTTTCTTCATCCTGAATTCCTATACTTTATACTTCATTAGTCAGATGTTTTGGGGCTTATACCTGAAAATGAGCTGTTTCTTTAAGATCTTGTGAACCATGAAATCTCAGTTAACTGAGTATAACCATATATATGGGTGGTATGCTTTTACATTTATTGCCTTTAATTATCAAAAGCAGAGTAAAATGCTTCTTAAAACAGTGCCATTTGTATCTGTTCTAAGTGCAAAAAAGCATCCAAAACCAGTAAACCTCTTTGATAAGAAATAAATTTAATGCTTTTCAATTTGTTTTAGAACCTTATCCTGATTTTACTTTTCTGCAATTATGTAATCTGAGTTTTAGTCAAGGGCATGTATTTAAAACTGAGTTGATCATGAGCCCTTCAGAGTATGCATTTATAATTGAAGTGTTAATACACCATTAACTATAGCAAGAAAATAGCACCACTTAATAGCGCAGTGCCTTTTTTCTCTTATATTCTCTAATTATTGCTGTATTAAGAGTTGTTTGTATGAAAGGCTATGCTTCTTCATATTATGAACTTTTACATTTTTTAGCATTCTAATTTTATTCCATTAAGTTTGGGGTATACATTTTAAATTGTTTATGAAATATTTTAGATACAGTATTATACTTCATAGTGTAAAAATGTTTCAGACTAATAGCTGTGGCCATACGGTCACTATGCTAACATATCACTAATATGTACATTAATTGATACAGCATCAGTATATAATCACTGGAGTGTAGAACTGAAAGGAAGGGAAGAACTATAGCAGGCTTTATTTTAAAAGGCTAATTTTATTTATTTTTTAAAAGATTTTATTTATTTATTTGACAGAGAGAGACACAGTGAGAGAGGGAACACAAGCAGGGGAATGGGAGAGGGAGAAGCAGGCTTCCCACTGAGCAGGGAGCCCGATGTGGGGCTCGATCCCAGGACCCTGGGATCATGACCTGAGCTGAAGGCAGATGCTTAGCGACTGAGTCACCCAAGCGCCCCTAAAAGGCTAATTTTAAAGAAGATCTTTCAGGTTTTTTTTTTCTTTCCATATATATTCTGAATGAAAAACCTTTGAATATTCACATGAAAAATTAGGTATTAAGGTTAAAGGGGAAAGGACGTAGAAATTTCTTCTAAATATTGCAAGGATAGTGGTTGATTTTTAAATAAAATGTAAGTTCACCTAAA